TATTTATTTTTATTATGAATCGTAATATAAAGTATGTCGATATAAGTAATTCAATTCAAAATAATAAATTTAATATAGAATCTTAAAATACTGTTGCATAATGAACTACTTATGTATGAAACACGTAAAACTCAGTTATTATAATATATATATATATATATATATATATATATATATATATATGTGTGTGTGTGTGTGTCAAATATAAATTTGACATTATAAATAATCAAAGAATATCGCGATTGATATTTGTTGATTTAATAGGAGCATGAATAATATTAGGTAGGTATCATCACTTAATAAAAGTAATAATAAATCGTAAGCCTGTAAGAAAAATTGATGCTTAGTCTTGCATGACGATATTATTATGCTTAATCAAACACCTGCGAATAAAACATATAATATCGTAGCAGCAGGAGAGAAGGAATAATGATCATCTATTTTATCCTTTTTTTATTCATTTTCTCACTTAGTGTGCTATTATGGCACCTCCTCTCAATTTTTAATGTGATCATTCATCTTGTTCAATTTTTATGAGTTTCTGTTTCTAATATAATTCATTATTATATTAGAATTTTGAAAGATGATTATTGAATCTGAGCCTCATTAACAAATAAACATTACATTGATAAAACTCACGTTCTCATTCACTTTTTTAATAAAAAAATAAAATTTACGATTATTCCTACATTATTAGTCTTTTTGTAATCTCATTAATATATTTAGGTCTATTCAAACTGTTTATACAATAAATTCTTAAAAAAAATTGTTACGAAAAATATTAATTACTGTTAATTTAATGATTGCAGAAATTATGATTCTTAAAATTATTCATGTAAACTAATAAATTATTTAATAATAAAATAGTAATATATAATAATAAAATATAATAATAAAATAATAATAAAAACATAATTTAATTTATAAATTCAAAGAAACTTATTTAATTGCTCTAATCTCACGAAAAGCCTGAACTAAATATTTTTATGTATAAATGTAGCTATAAATAATTGGATAAGATAAAAATATATTACTTAAAGGATTGTAGATAATAGACATAACTATGAAATCAACTGTAACTATTTATTTAATTTTACTCTTTTTCCTTATGAATAAACTTTCATTTAATTAATCAAACATTTTTTTACATAAGTTAAACACAATAAAAGGAGTTATATGAGACCTCATTTGTTAATGTTTAATTAACTATAGTCCACAATTTATATTTAGTATTAATAACTTACATTTATAGTTTCTACAATTATTAACGTACTTGTAATAGTAATATTATTAATATTAAAAGGATAATAAGTGTCATTCATAGAAACGACGAATAAATTTGTATAAAATTACAAGTAGAAATATATGTTATTGCAGCTTCATACATACCTAGATATAGTAGGATAATAGTAGATAATAGTAGGATCCAAAATCTATATATATATATATATATATAATTGAAAAATATTTGCTAATATATATGTGTAATTTATTTAGTGCAATAATTATAATACAATAGTCAGTCATTTAGTGGTGGTTTTTCCATTAATTTCATTCATATTAAATTCAAGGAAATTTATAATACTTATACTGGAAAACCATTATTACCAACTATTTCTGTCTACTATTTATATCTATTAACTATAACTATTTATGTATCCTTTTTAAAAGATATTGATTGATTGATAATTTAATAGAACAGATTGGCATTTATTCTCTTGTCTGGTATTTTTACGGTTTACTCTACTTATTCTTGGTACTACGTGGATGTGTTCCCCATGCTTGCACTTTGCTATTTTCTTCAAATGTGTCCATTCCTAAATACTTTTATTTGATTATATATATTCCAATCCTATTTAATATATGAATGATAGGTTATTTTATATGTAATAATATAAATCTTTAAGCACTTATTATAGTTTTTGTATATTGTATCTAAATAAAATGTGCTATAAAATGTTAATATTTAATGTTTAAAAGTTGAATAAAATTTAAAGATTTTTTTTTATTACTATTTATGTGCAATGTTTATATTGTATATATGTATATATATCATCGTATTTAAAGAAAAAAATAAATATAGAATATACACTTTGGAAACAAATTTTACTTAATTATGTATAAGCTGATGAAAGCAACACATATAAGATAACGATCATTTATAATACGTTGGAAAAAATCCAGATATTTACTTCATTAATGAGAAGTAATTGATAAAATTATAATTGATTGTAATCGATAAAATGTAATTTCCTTCCTCGTATATTACAATTAGAAATTGATTTAAAAAACATACGGATGTTTACGTCAACTGACAAAAAAAGTACATTTAGTATCTGAGATGGTTGAGAACTATAGATACAATAAAAAAATGAAGTTACTTCCATTAGAGATCGCCACGATGACAGTGCAACTACTATATTTGAATATTTTTTAAATAATACATCCTGTACTATTTTTTGAATTTATAAAAAGAAAAAATAAGTGAAGATATAAATAATAAGTATTAACTCATTAAAATATAGATATTATTAGGATACATATTGTGTTAATGGAACAATTCTTAAAAATGAAGTAATCAACAATTACAAGGTGATTTTTTTTCATAATTCATAATATTATATTTATACTTATAAATACTTTGTTATCACAATATATTTTATTAATATTATTTGTTCATATCAACACTATTATTTATTATATATTGTTTCGGTATAAAAAAATATCCGTTAATAAGTAATCAAATTAATATTATATCTTTTGTTTCAATTATGATAAATATTATTGGAATGATTATTTAAATTCGCTGAATGATCATTTTGTAAAAAATATGAAATAATTCCACAAATACTTAAAATTATATTTCAGAAAAAAGTTAAATAAAAATTTTGTACGAAAAATATTTACATCTGATTAAATGACAAGTTTTTGTCCTAAAGCGTAATATTATAGAGACGACAATCTATTTCATTTATTAAGATCTAAGTGCAAGAATAATGATATGAGTTCTTAATGACAATTTATCGCGTAATAATATAAAATTTAAAAAATGTCAAAATTATAAATAAATTATTATAAATAAAATAATCTTTTATCTATAATATTATGTTATTCGGGATATTTTCATGGTAAATAAAAATTGAAAGATTGATTTATTTATATATTTATTTAATTTCTAGAATAAAATGTATTAAAATAAAATTGGAGTTATTACGTCAAAAATATATGCAAACTAAAGCTACAACAATATATTATTTAATATCACATTCATAAAATTATTTAATTCCATTAATGTAACAAATTACGCAGGTAAAAAGATTATACATTATTATAAATATTCAAAAAATTATAAATAACCGAGTTTAATATTTTATTTACCGCAATTATTCACTGTATTCAGTATTAAATTTTTTAATATTCATATTTTAATTACTTTATTATAATTATAGTTTTTTAAACAATCCTACTTTATGAACGTAGATTGATTCTTGTACTTTTTAATTTTTCAATAAATGCTTTATTTATTAATAATAAAATTTTATCATTAAGTACTGTATAGTAGGTAAATTAAGACTTTATTATATAGTACTCAGTATGAAATTCAATTTAATTTTAATTGAAATTCAATTTTAATCGTAACATAATCAATTATTTTATCTTTTTTTATTTATTGAATATCATTATATACAAAATTCAATTGAAAGTTATGATCGTTAATTATTTAATATGCAATCAATTTATCAAATACAGATACTTGGCTATTAAGTAATTTAATATAATAATATATTTCCAATTTGTTGGAAGTTTTAATATTTTATATTTTTTTTAATCTAAATTTTTCAATACAAATGTTAACTACTTCAGCTGATTATCTCTTATAATAAACGTCAAATAATATTTTTATAAAGTAATAAAAATAAAATTTTTTTTATTTAACGAAATAAATAAATTGTATCTATAAAAATTATGTAAACTAAAATTGTATGATTTATAAAATTACAAAACAATAAAATCTTTTTAACAGATTATGTTAAATATTTTATTTAATATATTAAGACTTTCACAATCAGGAATCTAGGACATAATTAAAATGTTTCCAAAAATTGCTTGCGCACTCAAATTTCTTATTATATTACAAAAGATAATCATAAGACAATTTAAATATAAACATAAATTAAAACTAATATATTTTTCATAGATTTATTTTTGTTTTTAGGAAATTTTTAAGTAATAAACTGTAGGTAGACAGTTTTATTTGCAATACAGATGTATAACTTTTCAAATATTCAATTATAACTATACAATAAAATAAAATATAACCCCAAAAATATTTTTTTCCCTTTCTCTCTCATTTACTTCTGTGTATGTATATAGATATAAGCGTGGGTGCACGCGCGCGCCTGTTTGTGTTGTTTTGCGTACGTGCGTGCATGCGTGGAGGCATATATGCGTGTAGAGAGGAAATTGGAGAAAAAGGGACTATGTATGTGTGCATAAAGTCTTATTACGCTTTTAAAATACATTATTATATTAACATGAAGTATAAATACATTGTTTATTTATAAGTTTTGCGCGAATTTATTATTTCGCAGAACATTTATATATGAATAATATAATTTCATTATGAGATTTATAAGGAATGAAATTAGATTATATTTTCCTTTACATCATAATATTTCTAAATTTTTAAGATTTTTATACGTGTTTATTTTCCCTTAAAAATACTTTCTGGAACTTGAAATTTTAATTTCTCATATTGAAAAAATAACGTTATGTTTTAATATATAATATAATTATGAATATGAATAAACACTTTTAAGTCAGCAGAAGTCAAAGACATTATTTGATTTATTTCAAATATTTTCACGCAGAAAATATATCCTTCAATATAATTTTCAGAATTTCACTAATCTTATTGAATAATTGTCTCTTTTTCCTTTTGTCAATAATATGATATAAAAATTATGGATAAACTATTCTGCAGAAGAGTAAAGCTATCTTCACAGATCGAGATACATGATTTGGGTGGCCGAGAGGGCGCCACAAGCTGCAAGTGTGCTAGCGACACAGACGACGGCGGTGGTCGTACCGGAGAGGCTGACAATGGTACCAAGGCAGCACGAAAGGAGGAACTGTGCGAGGAATACCATGGAGGAGACAATTGCTACATCGGTCCCGAGGCCGCGTAGACCACCATCCTGTATTACTTCTCCATTCGGTGCCACTGCAAACTGAATTTTAATCTTATTTTAGAATCTTGTTTCTTAATTAATAAACAATATCATTTTAATATTAACTGCAATAACATGATAATATTGGTAATAATTATGTCTAAATATTTTTTTAAATATTTAAGGAACTCTAGTATTTTCTAGTATTTTTAAGAAGCATTGGCAAAATTAGTGTATAATTCTAATTAATTAAAAATATATGTAAAAGTAATTATTTAAAGAAATTCTCTTCTTAAATATTAATAATCATTAAAAGTCTTTAGTTATTAAGAAATGATATATCATATCGTTTACATGTTTTCTTATATATTTAAATCATAGATTGAACTATTGAAGTCACTTTGCAAATTATATAAACGTGTAAATCAAAGTAATATGTGACAGATAAAAATATTTATTTATAAAAAATAACTTACCGTATCAGAAGCATGATAATGTGCGATCAATAAATAAGGCATAGTAAAAAGAGTGGAATACATTACTCCAGCTGTCCACGAAAAAATTATAACACCGACGGCATGCTTTGTTAATGCCATCATCATCATTCCACAGCTATAGAAAAGTAAGCCATAAATATAAACTTTGCGCGCTCTAAAAAGAAAAACAGTAATTATAAAAGTACATTACATTTTATTAAAAAGAAGCGTGAGGCTTACTTGTAACGCTTAATTAATTTCTCAATAATTAGTGAGTAGCATGCGCACGATAGCGAATACATCGACATTCCCCAACAACCGAATCTTACACCAGATTCGTATAATTCACGTTTCTCCGATCCTTCAGGAGCCTAAAAATTTTAAGAATATTGTAATTATCAGACATTAAGATATCATACTCTTTCATTTTTAAATAAAACTAGTTTTCATTTTTTTAAGTATTTTATACAGTTCTTTGCTGTTACATAAAGCGCTAATTTGTTCTTACTATCTTTTTGTTAAATATAAATTAGTATTAGTAAAACATTTTATAAATTAATACATAATGTTCTAAAAATGAAAAATGAATGTACTGTGGGATCGCCGCCGTAAACGGCCTCACCGACAAAATCGGTGAAGTACAATGAGTAACACACGTGGGCCATCCAGCAACAAAGATTCGTCAAACACACCATCCTCATGCTGTGCGGCATGTAGAGGATTGATAAAAGATACTCTCGGATTGTTGCTTTAGGATCGACATTCGCATCATCTATTGACTCGATGATACGGCTATCCAAGTTTACGGATGATTGTACATCAGGAAATATTGGAGCCGTTCCGAGCTTGCACGGCTCATTCGATAGTTCTTTCATTTGGAATTCCTGAGTATTATCAATGCTATGTTAATAACAATTCGGTAAAATTAATTTTAGCGTTATTAAGTATTGTGGATGATTGATTATAAATAAGTATTTGTAAAATAAAAATATTTTTAATCTTAATTTTAATCTCAAGCTATTCATTATTCACATTAGAATAATAAATTATTCATCAAATTCGAATATTTTTTGTCATTTATTCGTTTATGGTTGACTTTGTTACTTGTTTGGTAGTAAATTAGTAAATTATTTTTTGTAAATTATTATTTCATTTTAAAATGAATGATTTTTCATTATTAAAGGCATCTAAAAATATATATAAGAAATAGGCCTATAAATAAATTAAAATTATTCATTAATTTTATAATAAAAACGATACAGATTTTGACACATTTTTATAATTATATGTATATAGTTACGAATTTATAGATAGTTTATGAAATAAAAATAATTATAATGAGCTATTCACTTACATTGGCTTTTTCAATATTAATTTCCGATTCATTTCCGCCGGTTTCATAAGTAATAGAGTCTTCTTCGGTTATTTTTTCTTGCTCATTATCTCGTTGTTCATTTTCCAACTAATAATCGAAATCGTATATTAAATTTAATATATTAATGTTACAAATAAATTATTATCAATTCGATATGAAATTAAGGATTTTTATAGTGACAACAAATTAATAAAACAATAAAAATAGTATTTATAAATTTGAAACAGGCATTCATACATTTTTTTAATAATACATTTTTATAACAGTACTTTCTTTATATTATTTAAATTGGTAAATAATTTATTAATTCATTAATGAAAATAAATAAAAACTATCAATTTCATCATAAAATAATATATTTATTAATAATTTCGTTGGTTTATTATTTAACTTATTATAGGTAATTGACAATATAAAAGACTAATTTTAATTCAAAATTTCGCAATTTGATTTAATTAATAAATAAATATATAAATTGCGGTATATTTTTCATATTAGAACAAAAATTACCAATATTATAGTATAATAGAATTAATAATATTCAAATTAAAAGGAATATTAAGTTAGCGTGACTATAGACATGAAAAATTATATCAATTAAAAATTGATATAATTTTTTATATCAAGAAAATCCAGATTATCTGTGAAATCTAGATATATGGAACTAAAAATATACCTTTTGCTGAAGTTGTTGCTTATATTCGTTACTTTCAATGAAATCCAAAGGTATTTCTTTAAAACTTGTTAACGTACTTGCCACGCAAATAATAAAGATAAAAGTGATAAGTGTAAAAGTGGCATGAAGATGGCCACCAAGTGCAATGCCAATACTTGTTGCGTCCCAATTTATGCCACCGAGGCCATAACCCATAAAACCTCCTAATCCCGCCATTATGGTGAAGGTACTTAATCCTCTTGCGTGATCCTCTAATAAATATCAATTTATAACAATTTAAACAATATGCTTTAAAATTCCATTGATTCATCGATCTATAAACATTATTAATACATTCTTATGCCATTAATGGAAATTTAATGATTTTAAGTAATGTAACAATTACTGTATTTCTATTTTAGAATCTGATAAAATAAAAATTTTCAGTATATAATAAAATATCTTCTATAAATCTATTAAAACATATACTAAAAATTAATCAAAAAGCAGCGAGAGTTTTTAAATTGTGTATTTGATAAGCAGATAGGAAATATTAATACAAATATTACTACAGCATTTCAATAATTCTTGAAAAATGTAAAATATTAACTCACTAAATTCATTTGTGTTAAAAACATATATATTTATTAATAAAGAACTCTAATATTTAAATAATCAATTAAAAGCTTAAAAATAAATATTAATTTAATTCCATAAGAAAAAAGCTTTTTATTAATTTTATAATACATCAGAAGTGCTAGGAATATTTAGAGTTACAAATTTTTACAAAATAAGCATCTTGTATCTGAACAAATGCTTGTTAACACCATAATCAATAATATTATCCTCTAGGACATTCTTATATTTCATCAATTTAAAAATCATATTGAGAAAAGCAATTTTTTTTAATAGATAAGATAAAAACTTAATTGTTGAGTTGAAACACATATTTTTTATTCGTTTACCAAATATTAACAAAGCATTAGCTGATTAAATATTGTCACGTACGTAGTAGATAGTACTTTTGTTTTAGAAAAAATCATATACATAAAACAAATAAATAATGCGAATTGAAAAATTCACATTACAAGTCTTTACAATACATTTTTTTTTTTAAATTAAATAATTGATAAATTTCTGCGATGAATAAATTTGAAAATTTTATGTTTCAGAAAACCAAGTATTTCTATCACTTTTTCAATTATCTATTATATTAATTTTTTAAACAATATCTTATTATGAAAAATCAAATTATGTAAAGTACCTGGTAAAGTCACGTCGAGAAGATAAGCCCTGGCTGGGCTTTGACAAGCGTCAGCATCAAAATCTAAAAGGACGGTACCGAGAATAGTGAAGATTATACCCCATGAGTGGGAGGATGGTGGAATCGGTGGAAGAGAGTCATTTCCCATTGTTTTCGCGGTCGTTCGATGCAGCATTCCCATCGTGAAATTCGATGAGGTATCACCAAATGCATAGCCAATACTCTCGCCATTAGGTACAAGAATCAAACCTTTAGATGGATTATTCTTTTAAAAGATATTTTTAGATTCTTGATATAAAATTAAATTTTCACTATTCACATTACTTTATATTGTATTTTTAGTTTAACATATTCAAATATAATTAAATTAAATTAAACAATATTATGATAATTATAATATAATAAATATTAAATATTAAATATAATAAATACAATAAAGTAATATTAAATTGATTAAATAAATAATAAAAAAAATTAAATACTTAAGAGAATATAAATTAACAGATATAATGCACTTTCATAGAATCAAGAATCAATAAAATAAATATATTAGTTTCCAAAAAATAGGTTATTACCATAAAATAATATGATAAACTCTAATAGATTGCGTGTAAATTAAAGAATTTTAATGCCGTCATCCACTATTAAACATTGGAGATATATATATATATATATATATATATATATATATATATATATATACTGCAAAATTAATGGCCGATTAATCTCGTCTGAGGGCTTACCCACGAGGACGCCAATGGCGAGGAGAAGAATAAAGGGCCGACGACGGCCTTGCTTCAGTCGACACCGGTCACTCACGCTGCCCAGGATCGGGGTCACGAAGAAGCCTACCAGAGGGCTCAGCGCCCAGACAAGCGTCATATGCTGATGGTCAACGCCGATCTTCAACAACGTCGGCGAAACGAAGGCTGTCTCTGCCGCATAGGAGAACTCGATACCCATTACTGCGGCCGAGATGCGCACCAGCTCCAGCCGCGACTTGGGCCTATTTTGAATTTTGGGCATATTCAAATTTTTCTTTATCGCACGTATGTTTATTTGGTGTGAACGTTTTTTAACGGCTCGATTACTCAATTCTTTTCAATAATTATGTGTAAGGGGAAGCCGTTTTGTTGGGGCTTATTGTTTTCATACATATACTATGAATAATTGGGGGATATGAATATGTATTCGAGCAATTAAAAAACAGTACTATCACATTCAGAATTGTATACATTATAATCATTTTCTAACACAATATATTTAATAAATATATATTTTCTCATTTCTCTTTATAAAATCTCTTTATTAATTAAAAATTTGTTATTATAATTAATTAACACAGGCTAATATTGATTCGACTTAAGCTCATTTCAATATTACATAGAATGTAATAGAATAGAATCTTGTTATATTTAATACGACGCAATATTTAATTTACAATATGTAAGCACATTAACCATAATAATTAATTACCATTGCCAATATTATTTTAATTAACATATAAAAAGAAAATATTATCGTAATAAATATGTATTTTAAATATTCATTCTATTAGTATATAACAAATTTGGTATCCGTAAAGTATTTTATTAGTCTGAGATGTTTTATCCCATTATAAATTAGACGTTCTATGATAAAAACTTTATTCTAAATATAAAATAAAATATAAATTTAAGTTTTATTACTTGCAATCATCGAATCTTATCAATGTATATCGAACTTAATATAATGTTTATAGGTCATTATATAGCCGAGTATTTCATTGCAGCCTTTCAGTAAATTTCAGAAAAAATTGACAAACGTATGTCTATACATTAAAGGGCAATACAGTTATAATAATTTTATAATAAAAGATATATCGCTTATAAGCCAAAAGACAATGACAATTGAAGATAAATTTTTTAATACAGATGACAGTGTAATAATAGTTTTGAAAATGGAGAGAGCAAGGACACAAAATAAAATTCAATTAACTAAAAGAGCCATTTAATTGCTACATTAATCTTTTAAGAATGTGCACTCGACTGTCAAGCAAATTATATATCTTTGTGAACAATATTATTGTGAACAAAGAAGTAAAAACATAAAATATTTGCATTGGCATAACTGCATTTATAAGCTTTCGCATTTAATTTTGTATTAATTGTTGACAATAGAAATTAAAAGATTTCATTGCCAATATACTGATTATATAGCGTAATTCATGCATTAATATTATTAATATTATTTTTCGATATATATTATTTTAATTTGAATTATACTTTGTAATAGACAATATGTTAACCAAAATTAATATTTTAATACAAATTGAGAGTGATTGTTGTGCAGTAAGTGACGTGGATGAAAGAACAAAGTAGCAAAGCCAATTTTATTGAAGTTTAAATTTTTTTACATTTTTTATATGAATCGATTTTATATGTTCTATATGTTATGTGTATAATATATTAATATATTGATTCATAATTTCCATGCTGTAGTACATCTATTATTTTAAATATGATCTAAATTCATATTGTAATTCTTTATTAAACCGTTTATTTATTAGTATCATTTGCGAATATTTATATCATATAAATGCTTTATAAAATTTAATAAAAATATAATAAAATAATTGGAAATAAAAGGTATCGCTTTATTTTTCTGTAATTTAATTAAACGTAGCTATTTTAAAAATATTTTTTTGAAAAAATCTATAAATATTGTGAGAGTTTAATAGCCAAATCTTGAAAAATGTTGAGTGCTGGCAATTTTACAACATTATAATTTCATCATTAATAAAATAAATTAGGTATATAAACAAATTTTCATTAGTTGGTTATTTCTAAAGTGCATAATTATTATGATTTTGAAAATAATATATTTAATTAATTTTTAAACCGTTAGAAAATGTCTATTGTTCTTCTTAAAAACTAACTTAATTAGATTTTTTTAAATTATCTTTTCAATCAATATTTAATGGTAAATAATGAGTGAAGCTTTAAGTATACAACGAATTCTTTCTGAATCGCAATTTATAGTGATAAGGAAATGAGGAAGCGGAATAGAAAGTACAAGGGATGGAGGGACAATCTTAAAAATGATGTAAAGCTTCAATTTGAAACTACTTTAATGAAGCTTTTGAAAGATGACATGTACACATTTTAGATGGAAAGGATTTATATTTTTTATTTTTCCTTGTTGTATTTTATTGCTATTTTTTCGATTTTATATTATGCAATTTTAATGTTAAAATTAATCTTCTATGTCTATTATTTTTTCTACTCTTTTGTAAATTCTCAAGATCCCAAATATTTTATTATTATTACTTATTTTCTTCTTTTTAACTACTTAGTTTTAATGTTACTTCTTTTTCGAATCGGAAATAAATTCAAGAAATTTACTAAATAAAATCATTTATATTTTAATAAAATTTCAATTTTCCTTTCTTCATAACTGAAACAATATGATTTTTTTAAGTTATAAAAATGTAATGATACTTTAGTATCTTGTTTTAAGAACTTTTACCTTTTGAATTAATAACTAATACTACTTTATTATTCTTAAAATCGAATTTTCATTTTCAATATACTGACTCTATTATAATTTAAAGAAGTACTGTTTTGATTCATTAGTATCTATATTCTTAATATTCAACACTTTTTGCTATAAATTTTTTTTTTTTAATTACATATAATTAATATAATTGAATTATATTATATGAATCATGTGTTGTCTATTTTTATATTTTATTAATTTTTTAAGTTGCATTAATGTATACAAAGAATGTAATTACATTACTTTATATTCATAATAATAAATGGTTTACTAATAAAAATTAATAATTGTAACTCATAATTGGAATTTTGTTTTTTCAAATTCAATGTTTCTGATTCTAATTACCTGATTTTTCTAAAATTCCAATATTATATTTTTCTATAACATATTTATGATATTTAGAAATGTATCGACATTAAATAAATTATGAATTTATCTTATGAGTAACATAATATTTTTATGCCCTTATGATTATTAAATAAAGAATGAATAATTATTTACGAAATATAATGCAGATAAATATATCTATAATATACTATCCTACACCATTGATTTTCTTTTCAAGGTATCTTTATTATTCAAATTGTTAAACTTTCTACTCATATTAATTAAATCGAAATCCATTGATTGTCAACGATAGTTCATTTTTATAGCCGTATCTATCCTTCATTTTATGACCGCATAAACTGTATACGAGACGGTAATCGATATTCAATGAATCGTAATTAAATATATTCTTTTATAAAAACGTATTTTAAAGAAAGTGAATTACATAGTAAAAATGATTAATGATTAATGTGTAGGCAGAAGGAGGTAATAGCATATTTTAAAATATACTTATATTTTCGTTAAAAGATAAAATATAATTGAAAGTATAATATTCATTATTTAAGTACTAGATTATGTAAAGAAAATGAAAGTTAAATTTTTGCCGAAACGAAAAATATTAGTTTAATAGAATTGAATGTGAGTAATTATAATTATTTCTTTTTTTAAAAGCAGTTTTTGAGAACAATATAGAATTTTAAACTTTAATACTAAAAACAAAAGTAACTTGTTTACTTACAATTTTATATTACATTAAGTCGCAATCACATTTTTTATACTTCAGTCAACGTCTTGTATTAGTTAACAATGCATATGCTTTATGCGTACAAATTCAAAAAATTTCTCTTAGTATTTCAATTTTATGATTACATATATTTTTCTAATTTATAACTATTTTTGTAAATAATTAAATTATTAACATATTTTTAAATACGTTTATTTAAAAAAATTGTGTTTTATAATAAAAAATACAAAGACTGGATTTTACCCTTTTATCCAATATCTCTTATGATTTATAATTTTTCAATAAATAAATGAAATAAGTAACTGCATTCTTATGGAGCTTATTCTGAGATGAAAATGAATGACGAAGTTAGCTACATTTGTCAACAAAATATAAAGCATTAAATAAACGACAAGCATACTTATAGATATGGGCATAATCTTCGAGAGTGCGCTCTGTTTTTGGGGGTCCATGCAAGTAGCCAAGGACACCCTCTAGTCCACGGTCTGTCGGTATAAGCTCCTTCCATTCTTTCCAGTATTTCCATTTTTCACGTGCGTTGTCTCTGATTTCATGAACCCGTCCGGTCAGGCCCTGATACTCATGCAGCTTGTCCACCATTTTAAGCTCGGCTCACGATAGTGGGGTTTCTTACTAACAGTTTGCCGTTTATTATGACTTACATTGTTTTCAACCTACTTTCATGCTCTTCTTGATATTCTTCCATGTATCCGACAGTCCTTATCGTATATTTACAATTTTACAATATAACTTTTAATATCGTGATATAAAAGGATTTATAAAATACTAAAATTTTATAGCGAAAAATTTTGTAATTAATTTTTCACTATAAATTCATTTTTGTACTAGATATAAATTCACATTATTACATTGTTATTACAATGTATTATGTTTATTTTCAAAACTAAGAAGCTAAAACTATTTAAATAAATATTGACGATCTAATTAGTTGGAACCTATTAAGATAAATAATTAAATATATATTCAGATATAAACGTCTATGATTAAATCTAATCAGATAATAAACATTTTTAATTAATCATAAATGTACAAATATTTACAGACAATTTTATTCAAAATAGTTGTAATAATTTATTATAAAATAAAATATATAAACTTTTTTTTACATTTTATATATTAGATAATAGTAGTTGATTTACAAAAACTTAAATTAAAAATATTTTACGCAACACGAGACAAACGCTAACTTTGTAAATATGAATATGTATAATATTATAACTAATATTTGTATTTTCAAATTTTTTATTTCTATTTCGCACTTTTAGTAATAACTTGGAGAATTATCAAATTAAGATACAATACTATTTATTAATTTTTAAAAATAAAATATTTTTAATATTTTCAAATATTATCTATTGAAATGTCCCGTAGAATATAATTAATGCACTTGGGATAAATTAAGTCTTTGAAATGCAAAGAAATACACGAATTGAATAACAAATCTGTGCCAAATAATAAATACTGACACGTGTATATAATCACTTTACTATTCAAATCATAAACACTTGCAATGCAAAACTAATTAAGCTTGAATTAAAAAGACATAAATATTATTGTTTGAATAGACAAATAATATTTTCCATTAAATTACACATTTGTTAAAGCTTAAAAGAGATAGCTATAGGAATATCTTTTCTTGACTGTGTCTTTCTCACGACTAATGCTTGATTCTCTTGAGAACGACGTCTCGGCGCCGACGCTTTGTTGACTTCGCATGCCCTCCAACTATCTCCACTCTCTCTCTCTCTCTCTCTCTCTCTCTCTCTCTCTCTCTCTCTCTGTGTCTGTCTGTCTGTCTGTCTCTCCCTCTCTCCCTACCTACCTTCCAACCTACCTGTCTATCGTTTTAATTTTTCTCTCTCTCTCTCTCTCTCTCGCTCTGTTTTTGTAGATTTATATAAATCAATTCTCAAATATTTTATATTTTTCTTATGGATATATAAATATATCATTTTATCAATGATTCATGGTAATTAATTACAATAATGAAAGTCCTTTAACTTTACATAATTTTATGTAAATTTATGTTATGATACATAATTTATCAAATCATTGCTTCATAAATCAATTATTTTGCAGTAATACGAATGTGAATATAGAATAGATTCATGTCCATAGAGCAATGGTATTTGAAAAGTTTTTAAGAAAATATTATATTTATCCATACTTACTTGAAACAAATACACTTTCTTCTAATATCACATATTTCATAAGCATATAAACGCAATCTTTTACAAGACATCCAAAATTAATTTGTGCTTTTGCTATTTTAATTGTGTCTCTATGTGAAGTATAATTTATTTTTCTGATATTCGACGTTCTCCTTAGTTATAAATTCAATTTTTATCTAATAAATCTATAATAATCTAATCTAATTTTCTATAATAAATAATGTACTAAGTAAAAAATTGATTATACCTAATACTTTAAAATTAATACATTCGATTGAAATAATTCAACATTTGAAGTATATTTTGCAAAATATAGTTGAAAATTCTTTATTGATCAAATTATTATATTAGTTTTTATTACACTAATTAGGAAATAAAATATTAGAACAGACATATTGTATTACCTATTACCTATTAAAAATAAACTATATAAATTTAATTCAATTTCTTCTTGAATTAGTGATTATTGGAAACAAAAATTAATATTAATATATTTTCTATATTTATATTATTAGTATTCAAATAAGGAATATCAATCATAAATAATTTGCTAAATATAATAAATCAAGGTATATACTATTGATTAATGAAAAATAAATTATTGTTTAATATTGTTTTATTCTATATCTATATGAAAAGTAATAACATAGCCAATTGGAAAGGGAGTAGTAAGAAAATCGGGAACTGTATTATAATAGTTTCTATAGGCGCCAAGAAAAGTATTTTTATTTCAACAATATCATACTGATTATGAAATGGTTTTTGGTTATGTTTGTTGTAACAATATGAAGGAAAAGTATAATAAGACAACGAAAAAGGAAATCTGTTTTTACTTTTAACTGAAATTCCATCTGTGTATCGATATATTTTTAATTTATTATTAATTTTGAAGAACTTAATTTTCTATTTTTCAAGTTAATATCATCTATACATTTTGAATCTCATTCGAGGGAAAATTACACACATATATATATATAGATAAGAAATTACGGAGCCACTTTAATTTCCTGTTGAAAGAAATGACTTTTTCAATTTATATGAAATTGTATAATCCGATTGAATATTGAAAGTGAATATTTGTTTACAAATGCTTAAAATAAATACTAAAATAATAAAAAATTTAAATAATATATTTATACAACGTTAAATTATCAACAAAATGTGAAACATTGTTAAATATCAAATAGTATGTATTTGTGCAATTGTATGCTTTTGCATATACATACATCGTGTAAAATACATTTTTACTTTTTTTATTATATGAATTTCCTATTTTGGAAAAATATATATTTTATTGCTATCATATATATATATATATATATATATATATATATATATATATATATGAACATAGTTTTATGAAATATAAAATTTAAAAAAAAACTAAAAGAATTAATCATTAATATTTTAATTGCTAAAAATAGAAAAATTGTGATCAATAAAAAATAATTGATATATATTATATATGAATACGTGTAGAATATTAAATATTTATGTAGCATATTTAATTCAGTTGAATAATACAGAATTATCCATTTATAAAAATTTCATGATTGTGTTTCTCAATAAGATAACTCAATATTTTATTTAAATTTGTTAGAAAATTAAACTGATATAATATACAAAATATATTTATATATTACATTTAGTAGCAATGTGTTTAAAATTTTTCTATATTATTGTGTGTATTCTTAATTAATTCTTTGAATTGTGATTCATTACAAATTTATTAGAAGAAGATTATAATAATATTAGTTAGTTAATATTATAATATTATTAGATTATAATAATATGAGATAATATTAGCAAAAGAAATTAGACGTTCATTGTATAATTTAATAGTGAAGAATAATAAAGTATAATAAATTTAAATGGTTTTATATTTATAAAATTTTTGTACTTGTTTTTCACTTCAATATAATACTCTGACTCTTCATATTATAATATTGTATAGTTATGGAAGATTTATATGAAATCAAAGAATCTTCAATATATTTTTTAAAGTTTATAAAAAATTTTTCAGTAAATTTCATTAGTTAAGGGTAAGAAAAGATTCATAAAAATTAAAGCGTATAAATCATATGAATAATGTATTACAGAAATAATATATTTTAGAGACAATTGTTTTAATTATCAAAAATTCAAGTATTTAATTGCAACGAAATAATAAAATATATCTTATAAAAAGTATAATTTTTTTCAATAAGATAAATTTATAATCATTTTATGTCAATATAAAATGAAAATTATTCTGTCTTGTATTTTAGACATTGAACTATAATTACTTTCTATATATAATTAGTTTTTATACATTGAAATATTAAGTATAATTATTAATATTACTTTAATACAATAAATAATTAAATTGTATTAAAATTTTTAACTTTTCAAAAGCAAATTAATGATAATTACTACACATTGTTAAACTGATTTAAATATATCGTGGAAAAACTTTAACTAAATTTGAATTTAACCAGATTTTGAATCTTATGGACCATTTATCTGTGAATATCTCAGACGTTCTTAAAAAATTTAATATGATTCGTATGGATTATAATTTGAATCCATTGCATTAAAAAAATTAATGAATATGTTACGCGGATCAAAAGGTTTTATTATTGCCAATGAATAAAGCAAATACATTTAATAAAGATAAAGTAATCATTGAATTTATTATTTTATACGATCCACCATATATGCATAAATTAAATATTCAATCAATTTCATAAATTACAGGCAAAAAAAAATCGTAATATTAATTGTTTTAAAAATCATTACATTATAATTATCAAAACCATTATAAATGATACAAAGTTATATTCGAAATGTATTGAAATTCCTTATGTAAGGATAACTATCTTCAAAACATTATATATTATAAATTCTTTTTAATACTGATAATGTTGTATAATATCCAGCAACATAAACTAAGTTCTTTTTATTTTGTTCTTCTTTCATTTCTGATCCACAATTTTATTCTTATTATCAATTCTTATCGATCCTTTATTGCACACTTAATAATTAATAAGGAATATTTTTAACGCTGTCTATTGTTTTAAATTTAATTATTTATTATTTAAAAATTTTAATTTTGATTATACATTAATTCCTATATCGCATGATATAATATTTACCATTCAATTAGATATATAAACTTCGAAATGAACTATTCGAATAGAACCTTCTATCGAGCATTTATTAGAATTGCTAGAATGCTTAGAAAATGGATTCAGATGATGAAACATATATATCGATATTGTTGTAAAGTATGCTTTACAAAATCCTTTTTACTTTATGATTATAAATAGACTATTAATATATTTCTAATACTTATTTTTAAATTGAAAAAAAATTAAGATACTTTATACTGTGTAACACAATTTATATTGACTTATTGTTCTATGTGCATGTCTTAAAATAAAATATAATTAATATAATAAATTTTCAATTAGTTTTCTATGTATTGAAAAATACACGCCTAGTTATAAACTTCAAAGTCAATACAAAATTATGTTATGGTTAGCAAAATTTATATAATATTAA